CACCAGTTGGCTCCTTAACCAAAAATTTGCTATTTGCTTACAACCAACGGCACAGACTTAGGTCCTAGCGTCGGGTTCATGCAAGGACGAGACAGTTGGCGAGCACTCTGTCTACCATTACCAATTGGACTCATTCTTCTTGCTTGATGGATATTCACCAGAAGCATGCAACCTCATACCACCACTCCGTAACACACGGTAATATTAGTGCGGTTTCTTCACACCACGTGGGCACATTAGAGATCTGATTGAACAATAAGAAGGAGGCTATTATTAGCATGACATTGTCCAGGTTTAGTTGTTTAGCAGGATTATGTGTACACTTGTCTTAACAAAATGGTTTATCGATTGGAGACGAACAAGAGAGAAGAATTCAACAAACGGATACAGAATCGCATCACACAACCTAAAAAATAGATAGCCGCGCTTTCATTGCGTAATTATTCCCGAAAGAACTACAACTAATCAGAAATAATGATGTTTGTTGAGTAGAGGAAATGAATCACCATTTCCAACAATTCAACAATTGTCATCACAACTCACAAGCTACTGTTGCTGATTTATACTCGGTGCTGAGTGCTGTTACATACAACATGAGTATGGCGCCCATTTTTCTAAATCGTTAATAACACGTTTCGTATAAAGGTTGTTGTGAACTGTGCCGTGTTCGGTCACGGTTGAAGAAACAATTTTGCCTAAATGAAATTCCTTCGTAGATCTAGATGTATTTTTGTTTTATTAGCAGCACATATCCGGCTCATTTATTTATATTTATATGCGTATATATTTATACATATGCATATATATATAAATATATATTTGCGGATGCAGTTATGAAACGCTTCGAAGGAAACCCTTTGAAATTGAACAACCTCTTATGTAGAAACGGTATGTGGGCGACACATTCGTCATACTCAGAGCATCCACGGTAGATTAATCCCACCAGATGATCAACGAACAAATGCCTGGTATCAATTTCACACGATAAGAAGAAAAGTTTGGACAACTATCCTTTCTCGACATCCTTCTCATGAGGCAACCTGACAGAACATTTAAAACCACTGTCTACTGAAGACCGACGGATGGTATCCTCAAATACAAACGTTACCACCCTCTGTGCTATCTGAAAACCTGTGCGCAAACTTTATTCCGCCAAGCAAACACACATTGCAGCACACCGAAGCTAAGGACAAGAGAAAGCAGTCAACTATTTCAACGGTTTTGTTCAAGCGCACATCCCTCAGAGATAAAATGCAAGCAACACATACAAAAGATGGAATTTGCATAAAGTTATCTTACATAGGCTGCACGTAAGAAGCCACAGAACTAATACTCCAACCGTTGGGATTCAAGATCGCCTATAAACAGGTAGCAACCGTGCGGTTTTTTTGTTTTCAACGGCACCGATCGGGTTGAACAGCACAAACGATCAGTTGTGATCTACGAAATCCCGAGTCCGGGCTGCAAGCAACTTAACATAAGCGACACAGGCAAACAACTATCCACTTGCTTACACGAACCCGAACTCGCCTTCCGACGCGCTGACCGGAGGTCACAAATCCGGAACCACTGCACATGGACAGGTCAGGAGATCGCGATAGATAAAGCAAAGGTGGCTCGCGAGCTAAGGAGAGGGGGGAAACGAATCCTCGGTCGATTCGTTCAACCCACATGTCGAGATATACAAACATTACGTCACACGTGCGAACCCCGTGACGATTAGTGGATTGAGAGAGCTACTAGCAGCAGAGGCACAAAAAAAGACAATAATCTCATTGTCTCATTCATTCCATTAAGGTTTTACAAGGAGTCCTAGTTTGGATCAACACATTTCAATAAACAACAAGTAGTATCTGAATGACGGAGCAAAATTTCCATAAGAGCACAAAACGGTTTCGCGCTTCTTGCTCCTCCTCAATCATGCGCATCGGGTAATCAATCGTTCGTCAAATCTTTCACATACATTATATATATATGTGTATAATCAGTAGCTGCGTATTTGGTCCTCTCATCCGGTTCACAAATCTCAAATATTTTCGAAATTCGTTTGCAAGGAACCGATGCATACAAACTATTTAGCATCTCAAAATTAATGCGGTCGCATTGGGTCTGGGTTCATTCACTTGATTTTCGTTTGATGCGGTTCAAGCCTTGGGAAGCAATGGCAATTAACCTAGCATGAGAATGGTAGTAAGATGCTAATTATACGCATTTCGGTTCATGGAAGACATTCATTATTTCCTCTCTTTGTTTCTGTTTCTGCTAATGGTCATATAAGGGATATGGATCAGAACATATACAACCAGAGCTTTATTAAGTGCCAAATATATTTTTCTGTGTCACAGTACAGTTTAGAAAACGGTATTGAATAGATATGAAAATTTGATTTTTCAATGGTTGTGATCTACGATATAAGGCTTGAAGAACGTTGTCCATGATATTGGTTCAGCAACAGACCAAACCCATGAATATCTGCTTTGAGGATTTTATAATATCAATTTGGAACGTCGAAAATAGGGCGGGCGGGTGGG